CAAGGTGAAGGTATACCCATATTTTTTATTACGCCACCCCATGCGGGGTATACAATTAATAAAAACGTATTATTATTGGTATAATTTGACTACATAAACGGCCGTATCAAATGACTCGGTCTATATGTGTGTGTGTGTGGGAACCTGCCGCTCCTTTTGTCGCCTTGATAATGCGCCTGTCGGTCCGTGAAATTCGTTCTCAGCGGTGTACAATAGGACACACGAAGGAGTGTCAGATATTTTTTTAAGCTACCAATATTCGGTGGACCTCGAAGGAATCGGCTGAGAAAAGACATGTAGACGATGGCAAAACTCGGACAAGGAAAGTGAATTATTATTTATGACAGAGCAATTTCGATGCACCTGCGATGACGCAGTTGGCCGAAGAAGACAAACCATTGAGGTGCGCGGTCAGTGCAGTAAATCAATGTTTTTTTTATTAGTTGACAATCATGTGAAACATAGCTTGTTCAATTGATAGGCGTGGTCTTTAAGGCTTGAGCAATTTATCAGATGCATTACATTAATAGCGAAACCTCCAGCAAAATTGGAGTATTGAGTTTGTTATTTTTGAATGGATGACTTTAAAATTTTAAATTGTAAAATAAAAAAAAATAACCAAATTCTAGACTATAACAGCGTTAATTCCCAGCCAAGTGTCACCAATGGGTGATTTCTTAATTCAAAATATTCATGCTACTATTATAATATCATATATACTTATTGTGCTATGTTGTACAGATTGTGTATTTCAAATTGTAAATAAAAAAAAATTGTAAAATGTGATTATTATTTAAATTTGGAATATTAAAACATTACATTTTTTAGTATAGACATTTAACATCGTAAATCATTTGTGTACTGCAAATCTCGTTAGTAAAACTAACATTTGTGTAGGCCAATAGGTATAGAAAAAATATCAGTAATTTTTTCTTTTTAATTTTTTGTTTATGTAGTTTTATATAACTACATGAAGTACTTCTCTAGCATTTTTTCCCCCCGAGAACTAGAAACTGTGCTCTGCATTTTCAATTATCTTTGTCAGGTTTACAAGTATTTTTCTTATTTATCATAAAAAATATATTTTTTGCGTCATTAAGGAGGTTAGTAATTACACAAAATATTATCTACTGTGTAATGGACACCGTAAATTATTATTTAACGACTTGTATTATATTTAATTTTAATTATGGCCTTAAGACTTTTTAACACCTCTCTGAACTCATTATAATTTATTAATAGCTGTTTAAACCACACATAATAGGTTTTAGTAAATGAAAATAAACAACATCCATTATTTATATGCTAATTAGTAGTAACATATTATACAAGTATTAATTTTGAAAAGTTTTGTTATATTTTGTTAATAGTATGTCATTGTAGTTTCATTTATTGATTTAGTTGTGTTTTTTTTATAAATAGTTCCTGCAATATTTTAACTGTTTTCTTGCTTTATATTTCTAGTATTGCAATTTTTTTTGTAATTTTATTACATTAATGATATTTAAATAAAAAACAATGACTAATATGTTAATACTGTGTTTGATTATTTTCGTTTTTAAAAATGTAGGAAAATATAAAAATAACTCGTGAGTTGTACAATAAAAAAAGTCAATTTTAATAAGTTTTATTGACTGAAGGAATAATATATTTTCTTCAAAACCCAAAGTATTAACCTATATAAAAAAAGTAAAATTTTCTGAAATGAAAACTTCATAAACATGAGAAAGAAAGTAAAAATTTATTAGAGATTTTCACTTAGAATTATGTAAAAAAATATTAACTAAACGATTATGAATTTTTCCACTTGTTACACTTATGGTTTATGTTTACTGATTAGATCGGTGTAGATAATAATAACGTTGAAAACTATGTTATAGATGATTCATAAAATATTAATATTAGCGTTAACTTATATAAACTTAGAGTTAACAACTATCATAATTAGTAATTTGCTTTGTAAAATTATAGCGAATAGGTGTATGAGCGGTTATGTTTTTAATTGGCCATTCACTGCAGGGGGTACAATGTGTTACTAAGTAATTAATTGAAAAAAGTGTCATAAATTTTATTTACCTGAAACTTGAAACATGATTAGAATAATATTTTATGTTCATTTTCAAACATGATTCATTATAAAATAAAAAATCAAATGTTTTCTTTTCTAAGAACAATTAATTGGTATACCAATTTGAAATGAAATATTTCATTAGCAGCGTTAGCCGCTAATAATACTCTAAAAGCCTCTGAATAGTCACTCTAAATTATAAGAATGCATTGAGTATCTGAACTTTTAAGATTTTTTAAGAGTCGCTTGAAAATTTTAGCTTCGATGCAAAGCTGAGAAGGTATTAATTTTACCATATTGTGTTTATTTTTTTTTTGTTTCTATCACTACTTTTTCTTAGCTCTCACTTTTTAGCTCCAACCGATTTTTCTTAACGATACGTCAAAAGATCACAAATTGTATCTAGTTGAAGATATTACCCTCAAAAATTGAAAATGTTGCTCTCGTTTCCCGTAAATAGTTAAAAATTCCCAAAAAATTACAATTTTTAAAATCGGTGATTTTCGACATTTTTAAAAAAAAATTTTCTAAAAATTGCCATAACTTTTTGAAAAAATAACAAATATAAATAATTATTTTTTATATTAAAACCATAGATATTTCTCTTTCATTTGATATAAATTTTTGGAAAATCTAATCGTTTATCTGCCATAAGGAGAATTTAAAATATCAACTTCTGTACAAAACTTTTAATTTTTCAACTTAAGTTTTGAAAATTTTACGGAAATACTCCGAGTTTCAAACATATGCAAAAATAAAGCTAATGTTACATAATATAAATTTAAAAAAAATGACTTGTCCCGATGACTTGCTTTCTATGTAAAATTAGTTGCCGTAAATAAAAAACATACAATTTTGTGTTAAAATTTACGATTTTATTTTTTCAAATTTAAATTGCTTTAACTTTTTGAAAAATGTGTGGTTATCATTATATATAACATGGTTAACATATTCAAAAATATGCTACTCTTGTGTTAAAATTCTTGGTATTGTATTTTAATTCATTTTAATATACTTTATAATGGCGTTTTGTGTAAAACTAATTGTCAAGGAATATAACGTTAAACTTATTTACAATTTTTTTTCTTTAAAGTCGAAAAAATTAATTTTAACATTTGAATCAGTTTAAATTGCCAATTTTATCAAAAAACGAATGCGACGGATGTTTTCCAATTCATTAAAAATCATTGCCGTGACTCCATTGTGCTACAGTTTTTTTTTTTTTTGTAAAAATAAATTTGTCATTTAATTTATACTTCAACTTATGAAATTCAATAAAAGAACATACAAAATGACAATACAAGATAAATTATTTATACATTTAAAAGTAACCTATACTAATATTCAATTTTCTAACTTATTAACAAAGTATGTGTTATATTTGTGTTTAATCAGTAATTGAATGAATCAAATTAATAAGAATTCATATTATATTGTTAGTAGTTGGTACAACATAATAATTATACAAGAGGTTTCCTGCATGGGGTGTTACTAAATAAAAATTCATACTACACACAATAGTATTTTTAAAAGTAAACATTAATTCACAAGTGTGACATGGAGTTATTTTAGTTTACATATTAACTATACGTTACTTGAACAATGATCAGTGTCGTATAATGTTACATTTATAGAACACCGATTATAGTTACACATTTAAAATTCAAATAATTAATTATAAAAATTTCAGTTCAAAAATGTCAAGGACTCACAAAAACTCATGAATCAATTTAGAGCAATTATATTTAAAAAAACATTTCTGTAGCAGATTATAATTAATTAAAAATGTAAATGTAAAAATAAGAGAATTTTGGCCAAACGGCATTTAAATTAATGCATTATGAAAAATAGTACACGATGATTTTGTTTAAAAACGTGTTCAATTAAAATAAAATGTATTTTTATAAATATTTAGGAAATGTGGAAGGACTAAAGGGATTTTGCCTTAATATAAAAATATTTAGAACTTTTAAATTACTGGCCCAAAGGTTGTTATCGAATAGTCATTTTCTTAAACAGATGTTTATTTTATGAGATAGTTAATTATGTATATTTCTATAAAACAAATTAATTTTACACTCTTATAAAGCAAAAAGGTTGAATTAAAAAAATAACTAATAACTGAAAAAACAAAAAATATATGAAACTAAAAATAATTATTATTGTAAGAGAAATTAAGTGTTAAAAGAATCACTCTGTATATATTATATGTATATATAAATTAATTTTTAATAGACTTATTATTTAGTCCATTAAATAATTATTTCTAATTATCAGTTATAATTATTTATTAAATTGATCTAATTATTTGATATTTGGTATTTAAACTGTAAGTACTCATATATTTGATTAATTTAACAAATTTATAAATTATTAACCATTACATTTTATTAATTTTTATTATCATTGAATTACTATAATTATATATCTGAATTAAATATTTCTAAACCCTGATTATAAAAAAAGAACCACATAAGCATGACAGCGATAATGGGGTTTACTCAAAATTTACTATTTCAAATAAAATTTATTAAATTTCTTAGATTTTGTATATTTATGATATACATAATATGTTATTTTAAACAAACACTGGTGTCATATTTTTCTGCAGTTTAAATAATTTATACATTTATGAAATAAAAATACTATTGTTAGTGTTGTACCAGTTGGCAAAATTTCAAATAAAACATTAATAAACTATTATTGTAACATACTTTATAAAAATTAATTTTCCATTTTTTATAGCAATAACTTAATGTTAATATTATTGACTTAATAAAGGGAATCGATAAATATACAATCATCGCTTAAAATATATGTTTGGACAAAGGGTAAAAGCTATTTTGATAAGGGAATTACACAATCAATATTTTGGTTGAAATTACGTTTATTTAACGGATATTATCAGTTTTGATAACATCCGATTACCTACATCAAGAACATAAGTTGTAAGGTCACAATAATAATTTTTAATGAGATATATTTCATTGAAGCTGGACATTTTTCTAAAACATCATCAGTAAATTTTACCATCGAGCAACTAAAAGATTGTATAATTATTTGTCTTTTTAATAGCATTATACATGGACCTGGTTTCAAATAATTTAGAAGTACTTAGATTAGCTAATCATGATTTCTCATCAATATTATATTCTGTAATAATTATATGATTGTTTTATAAATCGACAGTAGTGTTAATGTATTAATTTTTTTTCCCAGAAACTTAATAATAACAATGAAAATCTATTCTATTCTTCTCTAAGTATACATGTTGTTATGTTAATGGCTGGCATGGGAGCGGCTACGCAGACTTTTAACGAAATATTTGATACAATACAATTGCCTAAAAATAAAAGTTTAATTAAATCATATGGAGAATTATTGAGCAACGTTGATGTGAGTATTTTCATAAATATGATTACATAAAATGTAAAAAAGCGAGTATATCATTAATTAAGTGCAGAGACTTTAAGTAATATTATCAATTTTTATTAAATATTAGATTGTTAATTACTTTTTTTTATTTATTATTCTTTTTATTTTTTAATAATTTAGCAAAAAAATGATGTTTTAAAATTAGCGAGTGGCATTTTTATTGAGAAATCATTCAATTTAAAAAAATCTTACCTGACAACTGTCACTAAAAACTTAAATTCATCGGTGAATGATTTAGATTTCATAAATCATCCAGATGATCAACGGAATTTTATTAATCAGTGGGTAGAAAATAAAACTGATGGAAAAATTAAAGAGCTGTTTGATCCAGGTATATAATTATATTTTAACCTTATCTTATCTAGTTATTAATACTTGTTTGATTTGTTTAGACTCAATTGACAGTAAAACTGTTTTGGTTTTGACTAGCGCGTTACATTTCAAAAGTAATTGGAAATATGAATTTAATATACCTACTACAGAACCATTTAATATATCACCTCAAAAAAATTTACTTGTTTCAATGATGAATCTTAATGAAAATTTAAAATACTATCATGACCAATCATTAAAATTCGCTGCATTAGAATTACCTTATGAAGTAAAAATTCGCATTTGTTCAACATATTTACCTGTAATTTGATCTTTTAAATAACTATTCAAATTCTTTTAGAATCATAAATTCAAAATGATAGTTTTACTGCCTGACGCCAAAGATGGTTTAGCTAATTTAGAATTAAACCTATCGAAAATTAAATTAGCCGAGCTCTTAAATAAATTGAAATTGTATAATGTTGATGTAAAATTACCAAGATTTAAAATTGAACAAACTATCGACTTAAAAACTGTATTATCTGAGGTAATTATTTGCGAACAAATAATTTACTTGTAGTTAGTAAAGTGAATTTAAGTGAATCTTTTAAACTATATTATAGATTGGTTGTTCAACAATGTTTACTCCCAATGCTGATTTTTCTGAAATCTCTGACATTCCATTGAAAATTAGTAAAGCTGTACATAAAGCATACATTGATATCAATGAAAAAGGAACAGAAGCCGCAGCTTCAACAGGTCTGAAATAATATCTTCGATTATTTGAAATAATAAAAAAAAATGATTTGATATTAAAATTATAAAACACTACGTTTATTATAATTTTAAAACATTAATACTATAATTTTTTTTTTGTATTATTTCAGAGTGAAAAAAAATTTCGCTTTCTTATTAAATTTTTTAATGACGCACACTAAATAACTTTTATGGACTGTATAATTTAAAAACTAATTATTTAGTTATAATTTATTGATAATATAATTTTTTTTTTTTTTGATGAGTGAGTGATGGATTTATGAGAGGAGATATCCAGGGAGCTTGGAACCCCAAAAAATCGATATTTTTAAAATTATATGTTATGTGGTATAAAATTATAATACATATTAGAAGTCTATTTTATTTTTTAGTTTACTACCCTAAAAAAATATAAAAATACGCCATTTTGAGAGGTTGATTTATAATAAAATGCAATCTATCACTTTTTAATAGATATCAAAAAGGCAAGTTTATAAAAAATTAAAATTTTTAAATGAAATAATTTCTATATTATTATAATTATAATTTATAATATATTCATATATTATAATATATATGAACCCCAGAGACCGATATTTTTAAATTATGTGATATGTGGAATAAAATTATTATATATATTAGAAGTACATTTTATTTTTTAGTTCACTTAAAAAAATTATTTTTTTATAATATAGGTTTTACATTTGTTCCTGAAAGTATAATTATATCAGAAACAAAAGAAAAAGTTGAGTTTTATGCCGATCATCCATTTATATTTACAATCTGGTCTAATAAAAATGATGTGCTGTTTATGGGCCGTGTTATTAAACCTTCTCATTAGAATAAAAACTACCATCAAATGATTTTTTTTTTTGTAATTTGTAATTCATAAAGCTATTGTTGTCGCTTAATAAATCTATTAAATATATTAAAAATATTAGTATAAAATATATACTAATATATTCATAAATATATTGGTATATAATTAAATTGCATTATATTTAGATTGTTTTTCGAATTAATATATTTTTATCATGAAATAAATTATTGTCAATAAATTTTTTTGGAAAATACCTTTCACAAAAAGAAAAAACCAATAATTTGAGTTTTAATAATATCTATATTCTTCTATACATTATTTACTAGTTTAAGAAAACATTAAAGTTAACTAAAGTGGGTATTGTGATTTATAAGTGGGATAAAAGATTGTTTGCATCAAGGTCATTAAACTAAAATGCCTTGATGCGGAAACCTCGTATATACTTATATAAAATAAAACTTTACTTTGAATATTGTTATAAAAAATTAATTTTGAATGAAAATAATGTGATAGTATTCTTAAATCTACTCTAATAAATTACACCGTTATTAAGTAAATTCATTAAGTTGCAGAAAAAATTATAAATTTCATATATTAATATGAAGTTTACATCAAATGATGTAGTCTAAATTAATCATTTTTACATACTTTATATAAAATTTACTACTATAAATTTAGAGGTATCTTTAAAATAGTTCATGTTTAAAAATCATTTAAATAGTTGTAAATTTTTCTTGTTTGACGAGCAGCATTAATGATTTTTATAAATGTTAGCTTACTATTTTATTATCCAGCTAATAAATGACGTCAATAATTGTCCTGTTATCTAAAAATTTCTCTATTTGTAAGCTTGAAATACAACTTAGTATTTTATTTTCTAAGTATTCAATTAGTTTGTTATTTGCATTTCCGTTCGACCTGTGCTTTCGGCATACTGTAGAATTAAATTCAAGTATAGTTCTATATTTGTGTTTTAATTTTTCTCAGATCTAATACGACAGAAAATAATTAAAAGCGGAATATATTAGCGCTTTGTTTTATTTTGGCATAATTTTGTTTGAAAAATATATAAACTAAATAACATTTGTTTTTACACTATATTTTATTATTTAATTGAATTGTAATTTAAAAACAACACAATTCAATTACATTTAATACAATTATTATAAATTATAAATTGGAGTCATTGTAATAATTGTACGAATCAATATAATACTTGTATAGTCTTATTTTTAAATACTTCTTCTTCTTCTTCCTCGCCTTAATCCCAATTACTTAGGGTCGGCCACCCTTATCCTAAACTTCCACTCGACACGATCTCCCACATCATCTACGCTCACATCAGCTGTCCTCAAATCGCATTCATACAAACAGTAATTTTTAAATACTTAACTTTTTAATTTTATAATCTATATCGTTTATAATATAATTAATTCCCTTCTAGTTTTCGTAAATTTTACTATTATTATTTGAGTAAAATATAATACTAATAATTGTAATTACGATAAGAGTAATATTTTTCTATAATTTTAAGGTATTTAAACCTTGTTGTTTGCTACAGTTTGATTAGTATCAGTGGGGGCTCGTGGCTTAGATTACGGGACGATCGCACCCTCTACTAAAATTAATTGAAAGAAGAAAATTAATTGTAAAATCTTAATTTTACATTTTTATTAAGAATTCAAATTTTTAAATAGTAAAATAGGTATAATACATTTGTCCTGTACGGACATTAAAGTTATTTCCCTTATTATATGTATGCACACACGAACAGTGTTTGGACGACCAGCAGCGTCGTCCATACAGTAAAATATTAGTATATTGGGTTATTTATTTTTAGGATTAACTGCTTGTCTTTATCAGTTGCTATAATAGTATAATAGCTATTATTAATATTTTCATTTCTATTTTATACTGTGACCTTTAAAATAATAATATGTGTGTTGCGTTTTAAATTATTATATTTAATTTGACAATTTTTTATACTTATGACAAGTGAAATAATAAGTCGCATCCCCTCCACCAACACTGATTAGTATACATTGAACTATAAAAACCGTAAATAATTCCTAATAGTATCAACTTATAATTTTTCTGATATTTAGGTCTGATTATTATTGAATCGATTAAATATGGCTGTTGCTATGAACAATATAGAAACATTGAGATTGGCCAACCACGAATTTTCTAAATTGTTGTATTCTGTACGTATAATTAAAATTTAACATTTTTATAAAAATTATAAGCACTTTCATTTGTTTATTTAGTCTTTAAATACAAACAATGAAAATTTATTCTATTCACCTCTAAGCATACATGTTGTTTTGCTTATGGCTGGTATTGGAGCGACTTCAAAAACCTCAGATGAAATATTTGATACGATTCATTTGCCAAGAAACAAAAGTTTGATCGAGGCGTACGATTATTTGTTAAATGACATTGGAGTGAGTGTATAGATTTATAACATAAGAGACAATTAATTATTAATCTTTTTACTTCATTTAAAAATGTACAGCGATACAGAAACTCTGCTAATTTGGTTACCGGAATGTTCGTTGAGAAAACATTTAAAATAAAGTCTAGTTATGCTGAAAAAATAAAAAAACATTTGAAATCGACCGTGGAAAACTTAGATTTTAACAAAAAATCGAATGATCAACGAAACTATATTAATGAATGGATTAAAAATAAGACTAACGGAAAAATTAATAATCTATTCCCTGCTGGTAAGAAATTTGAATAAAATATAATTTAAGTAACTCATTCTCAAAATATTTGATCTGAATACTAGATTCGATTAATGAATCAACTGTGATGGTATTAACAAGCGCATTACATTTTAAGTGTCTTTGGAATAAAAAATTCTCTGCAACGAATGATGAACCATTTTATTCAGTGGGACAAAACGTCATCGTAAAAATGATGTACCAACAAGCACCTTACAATTATTATCATGACAAAAAGTTAAAATTCGCTGCTTTGGATATGCCTTACCGTGTATTAAATTATTTTTTTAGATTTTTCATACATCCATATATATTCAGTTGTTTTTTAGAATTTCTACTTCAAAATGTTGATTTTATTGCCTGATGCAAAAGATGGTTTAAGTAATTTAGAAAATAATTTGTCTAAGATAAATTTCATTAAACTTTACAAAAATATGACAAAACATGATGTTGATTTTAAATTCCCAAAATTCAAGATCGAGCAAGAAATTGATCTCAATCATGTATTGAATAAAGTATGATAACAATTTTTCCGTCGTACATTTTTGTAGTATTTTTTGTAACTAATTACAAATATTATTTTTACAGCTTGGATGTTCCACAATGTTTACACCAAGTGCCGACTTTTCAGGAATTACTGATGTACCAATATTTGCTAATAAAGCTTTCCATAAAGCTTTCATCGATGTAGACGAAAAAGGAACAGAAGCTGCAGCTGCATCACGTACTGTAAAAATGTTACATTAAAAACGGTAGCACAGTGGGGTTGTGGCATAGTTGGGACAAGTATAGATGATATCTACAGTGATATTAATCACTATCATAAGAAACGCTTAGATGCAAATCTGTAGATAGCGTTTATTTTTAAGAAATTGGTGGATTGTTTTAAAAACATAATTAATTCCCATTTAATAAAATTAAGAAAAAAAAATAGAAATTTTTATTGGTTGAGTTCGAACCTCGTTTTGGAACACTCATTTATACCAAATGAAAGAGAAATACTTAATAAATATAAAAAACAATTATTTTGATTTGTTAATTTTTGACTAATTTATAGCAATTAAAAAAATAAAGTCAACATTTTTTGAAGATTCTCATATTTGTAGGATATGAAAAAAATGTTTTCAATGTTTAAGGGCAATATCTTTAACTAGATATGAGTTATGATCTTTTGTTAGTTAGATTCATGTAAATGTTATATTTATTGGTTGACTCATTATTATGGCAAACTTTTATAATGTATTTTAAAATAAACAAATAAAAATGAAACTTGAACAATAAAAATAACATTTTTTAACTACGACAGTTGTTTGCACGTTGAAGATAAGTCGTCGGAACATATTTCTTTTCTAATTTTTAGGCTGTAACATAAAGTTTAATTTGATATATTTTTTAAGGATTCAGTATTCTGGAACATTTTAAGACTTAAGTTGAAAAAGTAGAGTTTTGTAAAACATTTGTTATTTTGAATGCCCCCTGTGTGCAGGTAAAGGGTCAGATTATTATAAAATTTATATCTTATGAAAAGCAAATACGTTTGGTGTTTATATAAATAAATTATTTTGGTTCGTTCATTTTTCAAAAAAATATGGCAGTTCTAAGTACCATAATAACATTGATTTTGAAATTTGGGAAAAGGTAATAGATAAGAGAATAAGAAATGAGACATCGGTATCCAAAAGCCAGTTTGGATTTATGTCTGGTAAGTCAACAATGGAGCCACTATTTTGTGTGAGATAACTAATAGAAAAGCTATGTATGGTATTTATAGATTTGGAGAAAGCATATGATAGAGTACCGAGAGAGGTTTTAAAGTGGGCAATAATGAGAAAAGGAGTCCCGAAAAGGTACATTAATATAATAAATTATATGTATAATGGCACTTGTACCAGGGTAAAAAGCGTAGGAGGAGTATCTGAAGGTCTTCGAGTAAGAGTAGGAGTGCACCAAGGTTCTGCTTTAAGCCCTTACTTATTCTCTATTGTGATGGATGAAATTACTAGAGAAATACGAGGAGTATTTAAGAAGTGGAAAGAAGCGTCTGGCGTCTTATGCGATTCCAATGAGGCTGAAAGGTAAATTTTACAAAACTGTACTATGATGTATGGTTCAGAGTGTTGAGTGGTTGATAAGAAAGTAGAGCAGAGAATGAGTGCAGCAGAGATGAGAATGCTTAGATGGATGAGTAGAGTGACTAAAATAGATAGAATAAAGAACGAGCATATAAGAGGGAGTATAGGTGTAGCGTCAATCATGGATAAAATGAGCGAAAATAGACTTAGATGGTTTGGTCATGTTATGAGGAGAAAACAATCGGAAGCTCAAAGAATAGTTATAGAATTTAATGTTGAAGGAAGAAACGGTAGAGGAGGACCAAAAAAGAGATGGAGGGATGCTATTGAATGCGATTTGAGGACAGCTGATGTGAGCGTAGATGATGTGGGAGATCATGTCAAGTGGAAGTTTAGGATAAGGGTGGCCGACCCCAAGTAGTTGGGATTAAGGCGAGGAAGAAGAAGAAGATTATTTTTCACCATTACAAAAAATATTTTGAAAATTAATTTATTTTAAGATAAAAAATTTTATAGATAAGAATTAAAGGAAAAATTCGATACCAAATACTACTAATTTAGTTTATTAGTTAGGTTTATATTCAGCATATATCATGGAAAAGTAATCGCATGTTGTTACTAGTTAATATCGTAAAAAGATAATGTTTATATCCGTCTTTTGCATACATGAATTAACGTTTAATAACATAGAAAAATCTTCAAAATTCTGTATAAGTGTAACTACTGAAGTAAAATAAGAGTAGTTAGTTTCAACATTTTTAAAACATATTTTAATTATAAATATATAAAAGGTTATGTAGTTCATAAATTATATGAGTTAGATCAGTTTCATTTTTTATAGTTACTAAAGTTTTTAAACCGTAACATATTTTGGTTATAGTATGTATTGTGTTGTTGCGCATTATGTTGCTTTTTATTTACATTATACTCTTATATAATAATAATTATACTCTTACCCATGATGTAGTTAAAATAAATTGTTTTTAGGGGCTTATATGTTTTCTCTTTATAAAAAAAATATATTTAAAAAATAATAAAAATAAATTTCTAAATTTGACGCAATAGGTAATTATTTCACTTGTAATCCAAACCCTCTAGGTCCATATATATGGCTTTCACTGGCATCTTCAAACCATTCAACATTTTTGAAAGTCTATATCTTATTTCAAGATATTTTTAAATAAACTATGATTCGTTATACAAAATTACACAATTAAATACTCTAAGGCGAATTTTTGCATAAAAATATTAATAATATAATCAATATAATTATGTAAACAAAATTAATAATTGTACTGACCTATTTAATGAATCTTCATAAACAATTTAGTGTGTATTATGTGTTTTAGGTATTGAGTGTCTGGAAGGCAGTGCAATGCCAACTATACTACCAAAAGCTCAATTCCACGTTGACCATCCTTTTATTTTTGCTATTTTAACTGAAAAAAATGATATACTATTTTTGGGAAATCTTAAGAAACCATAAAACTAATTTAATTTATTAATTTAATGCTTGTCTGTAATTATAATACTAACACTACGTATAATTAAAAATTAATATGAAAATTCTTTACTGACAATTAAAAATAAATTTAAAATTCAAAAAAATTGTGTAATGTTTTCAAAAGCAACTAATAGAGTGTAATAATTAGGGATTTTATATGTGTTTTAATAAACCCGTAAAACATAATAGTAATAAAGTTGCGCATTATGTTGCTTTTTAGCTTCGATGCGAAACTGAGAAGGTATTGGTTTTACTAAGATGTGTTTTTTTTTTGTGTGTGTTACCATGTTTTCTTAACTCTCACTATATCGATTTCTTTTAACGCTACGTCAAAAGATTACAAATCGTATCTAGTTAAAGACATTACCCTCAAAAATTGAAAAAATTTCCCTCGTTCTCGTAAATGGGGGAAACTACCAAATAAATTACAAATTTAAAAATTGCTAATTTTCGGAATTTTTTCAAATTTTTTTACTTAAAACTGCTATAACTTTTTCAAAAATGAACAAATCAATATATTAATATTTTTTTTATAAATTTGACCCTTTACTTGCCCACAGAAAGGGATTTAAAATGACAATTTTTTCATAAAAATTAACTTTTTCAACTTAACTTTTTAAAGTGTTCCGGAAAGTCTGACACTTTTATACATATTTTAAATTAAAGCTAATGTAATATACTTTATTATGTAAAAAAAAAAATTTCGGACTTTATTTTGTCTTCACGGTGAAAACAGACATCAAAGTTAATAAAAAAAACCCAGCATAGGGGTATCGCGGCACAGTGGTGACGTGGTATAGTTGGATTAAGTATAATGATATCTGACAGTGATTAAAATCACTATAAAAAAAACGCTTCGATGCAAATCTTTAGATAGTGTTTAATTTTAAAAAATTGGTGGATTATTCCAAAAGCTACATGATCTGCTAGTTCCTTATTAATATCCTGATTAAAATAAAGTATGTCAAATGAAAAAGGGATTATTAAAAAATATTATTTCTCATAAAAAAATTATGTTGATCCATACACTTTTTAATAAGTTATAGCATTAGAATGTTAATTATGTAAAAAATAAAATAGAGAATTTTCACACAAAAATAGCATTCGGTAGCCATTTTCAACGTGAAGACAAAATAAAGTCCGAAATTTTTTTTTTTTCCATAATAAAATATATTACATAAGCTTTAATTTAAGATACATACAAAAGTATAAGTATTTCCGAAACATTTTCAAAAGTTAAGTTGAAAAAGTAAATTTTTTATGAAAAAATTGTCATTTTAAATCCCTTTCTGTGGGCACGTAAAGGGTCAAATTTATAAAAAAAATATTAATATATTGATTTGTTCATTTTTGAAAAAGTTATAGCAGTTTTAAGTAAAAAAATTCCGAAAATTAGCAATTTTTAAATTTGTAATTTATTTGGTAGTTTCCCCCATTTACGAAAACGAGGGAAATTTTTTCAATTTTTGAGGTTAATGTCTTCGACTAGATAAGATTTGTGATCTTTTGACGTATCGTTGAAAGAAATCGGTTCGGTGAGAGCTGAGAAAAAGTGGTAACAGACACACACAAAAAAAAAAAACACATCTTAGTAAAACCAATCGCATCGAAGCTAATATACGATATTTGTAAAAAAATTCCTTTTTTATATTTTTACTTTATAATGCTATAACTTTTTAAAAGATGTATGGATCAATATAATTCCTTTTTATATAGATGCATAATATCATTACCTTTCATTTGGTATATTTTTTTCATAAATTTAACCCTTAACCTGCACACAAGGGGGGATTTAAAATGACAACTTTTTCACAAAAAATTAACTTTTTAAACTTAACTTTTGAAAGTGTTCCGGAAAGTCTGACACTTTTATATATATCTTAAATTAAAGTTAATGTAATATAATTTATTATGGAAAAAAAAAATTTCGTGCTTTTTTTATTCTTCCCGGTGAAAATGGCTATGAAATGCTACTTTGTGTGAAAATTCTCGATTTTATTTTTTACATTTTTAACTTTATAATGCTATAACTTATTGAAAAATGAATAGATTTACACAATTTTTTTATGAGAAATAATATTTATATCCCTTTCTCATTTCGACATACATTATCTTAATCAAGATATTAATAAGGAATTAGCTGATCATATAGCTTTTGAAAAATTCCACTAATTTTTTAAAATTAAACACTATCTAAAGATTTGCATGAATCGTTTTTTTTAATAGTGATTTTAATCACTGTCAGATGTCATTATACTTATTCCAACTATCCAACGTCACCACTGTGCCGCGATACCCCTATGCTGGGTTTTTATTTACATTATACTCTTACCCATGATGTAGTTAAAATAAATTGTTTTTAGGGGCCTATATGTTATCTCTTTAATCCATATATGGCTTTCACTGGCCCTTTCGAACCATTCAACATTTTTGAAAGTCTATATCTCAGATCAAGATATTTTTTAATAAACAATGATTCGTTATACAAAATTACACAAACAAACACTCTAGTGCTAATTAAAAATAATAATTTTAATTAATAATATAATTAATATTTAAATAATTTAGGGTTTATTATGTTTTTTAGATTTTGAGATACTGTGTGGCAGTGCGATGTTAACTTTACTACCAAAAGCTGAATTCCATGTTGACCATCCTTTTATTTTTGCTATTTTAACTAATAAAAATGATTTATTATTTTTGGGAAATCTTAAGAAACCATAAAACTAATTTAATTTATTAATTTAATGCTTGTCTGTAATTATAATACTAACACTACGTATAATTAAAAATTAATATAAAAATTCTTTACTGACAATTAAAAATAAATTTAAAATTCAAAAAAATTGTATAATGTTTTCAAAAGCAACTAATAAAGTGTAATAATTAGGGATTTTATTTGTGTTTTAATAAACCAGTAAAACATAATAGTAAAATTGACAATAATTGCTTGCAGTTGTATTTCAACATAGAAAATGACTAAATGATAATAAGTTAGTATTACAAATAAATATTTTTGTTGTTGTATAATCATGGTAACTTAGAGTTAAAGATTTACTGCTAGAACACTGTAAATATTTATGTGATTAAAAAATGTTCACAATCCATTTAATTTGTAAACCATAATATTTTTTATATTAATTAAAATTAAAGTTTTAAAAATGAATTTTTATCAGGGAAATATTATATGCTGTATTACACTTTTCGTTTTTTTTTTTAATTTTTATTGTTTTCTGATAAATTTCAAAATTTAGTCTCCCCTACTTTGTTAACTAATAAATAAAAATATAATTATCCCTCTACTTTATGCTCCAAGTCTTGATAATTCAATCAACCCTATTAACTTGTATTTGGATACGTACAAGGACATTTTCTATTGGATTCTATCAGAAGATAGGAAAGTTTTTAATGTAAAGTATAATCCTCCATTTCTAATATACTTATAATACAGTAATAATTCATTACATCTAACCTTAGAAAATTCTGCAGAGCAAAATTTATTGACTAGAAAAAATTAATATTTTTATTGATTGACTTTATGGTAATCTGGAAAATTTCGAAACCATGTGAAATTTTATACATTTTTTAATAAAAAATATATCTGCTTTAATCAAGCGTATTTTTTTGTATTATGAATCAGATTTTTTTACTCTTTATTATGATAAAAAGACCCGAATGTCATAATTATACATTAAAAATTGATCACTTGTGGCTAATATTATTAAAAGTTAAAAAAATATTGATCATAAATTCAAAACTATACATTTATGGTAATTTATAAAACAACACAATTCGTAAATTTTTTAAATATAATTTTTTTTACTTGATTGTACGTAAATATATATTAATTATAATTAATACAATTTTCGAAAATTGTACAATTTAAAAACTACACGAGTAACGTCTTTGTGCAGTTATTATTTTTAAATAATCAAAATTTTAATTTTATGACGTTTAATAAACCATCAGTTCTCCTCTACTTTTCGCAATTTTACTGTTATTATTTGAGTAATATATAATAGTAATAACTGTAATTACGATAAATACTATATTTTTATCATTTTAAAAATTAGTTATATAGAAAAGTTAATATCGTAGGAATACATATTTAATGCTGTGAATTGATAAAATTTGTTTAAATAACAGTTTGAAATTATAATACATTAGAAATCATGGATAAAATGANAAATTTGTTTAAATAACAGTTTGAAATTATAATACATTAGAAGTATATTTTAGTTTTTAATTCACTACCCTAAAAATATGCCATTTTGAAATGTTGATTTATAATAAAATGCAATCTATCACATTTTAATAGATATCAAAAAGCCAAATTTATAAAAAATTAAAATTTTAAAATTAAATAATTTCTATATTATTATAATAATAATTATAATTTGTAATATATTCATATATTATAATATTTATGAACCCGCAGAGACCAATATTTTTAAATTATATGATATATGGAATAAAATTATTATATATATTAGAAGTACATTTTATTTTTTAGTTCTTCTAAAAAAATTATTTTTTTATAGTATAATGCCGATCATCCATTTATAATTAAAAAAATAAATACAATTTCATCTTAATAAAAAATGTATAATAATTTGGGTATAAAGAGTGATCCAAATGTAAAAACCAAAAAAATGACAATATACAGTGATAAAAAAAAAATTTTGCAATTAATTGAATATCGAAATGTCATTACTAATTATATAGTTATAGAGTGCTAAAATGTATAAAGTAATCTAAATATAAAATTACAGTACACATATATGATCTTCTATATATTAATTACTAGATTAAGTAAACATTAAAGTTAACTAAAAAGTGTATTTTGCTATATAAGTGGGATAAAAGAATGTTTGCATCAGTCATTAAAATAAAATGCCTTGATGCGGAAACCTCGTATATAGTTATAAAAAGTAAAACTTTATTTTGAATATTGTTATAAAAAATTAATTTTGAATGAAAATAATGTGATAGTGTTCTTAAATCTACTCTATTAAATTACATTGTTATTAAGTAAATTCATTAAGTTGCAGAAAAAATTATAAATTCCATATATTAATGTAAACTTCAAATTATGAAGTCTAAATTAATCATTTTTACATAGTTTCTATAAAACTTTACTTTTATAAATTTAAAGGTATTTTTAAAATACTTCATTTTTGATAATCATTTAAATAGTTAAAACTTTTTCTTGTTTTTCAAGCAGCATTAACGATTCTATTAAATTTTAATGACGTCAAAAATTGGTATGTTATCTAAAAATTTCCCTGTTTATAAGCTAGAAATACAACCGAGTGTGATTTTCTAAGTAATCAATTAGTTTGTTATTTGCGTTCCGGTTCGACCTGTACTTTCGGCATACTGTAGAGTTAAATACAAGTATAGTTTTATGAAACGTGTTTTAATTAACTAGCAAATTATAAGTAAATATTTAGTCATATACTTTTTTTTATTAAATTAGGCTATATTAATTTTTTTTTTATGTAATAGTTTTGACGTCCACTTATATTTATTTTAAAAAAATTTCTTTTAACCTTCTAAATTTATATCTACATAATTTTTTCTAGGTATCATAGTTATATTAAACTATTACAAACAAAATTGATCTTCTGTCGTAATCTCAATCATAATAAATTACTAATATAAATAAATATTATTATTGAAGTGTAACCGTAGTAATTAAAAGAGCTGAATTTTTACTACTAAAATACACAAATGATTAAAATATGTGTATAATCGATTTCATTTGTAAACCGTAATGTTTTTTTATATTAATTAAAATTTTAAAAGTTACTTTTATCAGGGAAATATCATGTTATATAAATTTTTAGGTTTTATTTTTGATCAGATCTAATACGACAGAAAAATAATTAAAAACGGAATATATTTGCGTGTTATAATAAAAACTTTAGTATATTAGAAGTATATTTATTTAACTAAATTTTTTCTATGAATTAAGTTACCAAGAATAAATATCTAAAAGTATTTACTTTTTTGTTACTTTATATTATTACTCACATTAAAAATTTCAATTTGATATAGATTTGAAAGACACAGCATTTCATTAAATGTAACCAAATTATTAAAAAAAATTTTTTTATTCGCAAAATGAAAGTTTACATAAAAACATTTATAAGTATAAGGAAAATTAAGTAAAATCCAAAGTTGAAAAGTAAAATACGTAAGTGCACAATAATAATTTCAGAAAAAAAAAAAATTAAATCATAATAAGTGAAATGTACATACAGAAAGATAAAAATATAAATTAAGCAGGGAAAAAATGTTTAAATTACACTTTTCATAAGTAGATATAAAATCAATGAATACTTTTTAAGGAAAAAGATCCTTTTTTTATTTGTTCCATAAGCAATTCTCTATTACTGGATTGTCTGTCTTCGGATCAGGAATGCGTATTTTTAATAGCATTGGTATCAACAGATTTGCTTATAAAACCGTTATTTTGATCATTGTTAAACTTAGATTCAGTATAAGCTTTGTTTTTTTCATTTTCTTTAATTATAAAATCAATTTGTCCAAAAAATTTAAGGAGTATTGAGAAGCATTCCTCTACGTTAAAAGATTTAAAATCTTCACCAAAATGAGAAGCTAAACTTTTTATACGATCTACCGTTGTTTTAAAATTATCATTAAGCTCATCAATATCCTTATCTGCTTGACAGATAAACTCTATTAGATTTTTATTAATAACTTTAGAATAGCTCACCTGTGTCAGTTCAGATTTCAATTTTATTATCTGACGAGAGCGATTACGAATCTCAACTTCCAAAGACTCAAACGAAGTTTTTGACAATTTGTTCAATAATGAAGTTAAATTCAAAAAACTAAAAGTATTATTTGTACACTTTTTAGCCATTTCTACAGCCAAGTGGACGAAGGTAACGTTTAGCTTGTTAGATCGTGTATCCATCAGTTTAGGCAGAGTACCCAACGTGAAACCGTCTGCTTCACAAACATAACTTCCCCCATATAATCATGTTTTAATTAATAACTTGTTTATTTAATTTTTCAGCTTAAAATACATTATTACATATTTTTTTTATCTTGTAGTTTAAATTAGTATTAATTATTCTATATTTATAAATAACAAAAGGTATTAACAAGAAAATATTATACAACTTTGTGTACACTAATAGACTCGTATGTTTTTTTTTTAATATGTGCCATTTAAGTTTAAAATTAATACAATACACTAATGCATATTGATTTAATACCTAAAATGTTCTCACTATAGAGACATAAATATATCGTTCATACTTACTGCGTTCAATTTATTGACTAAATGTATTACAACTGACAAAAGTTGTGTTAACGATTTGTCATTAATTAAAGTGGAACAAGTCTGTTGATAACTTTTTAATGTCTCGAGAGATTCCGAATATATGAGAGGCCACTCTTTCTTTAATATAGTAAGGTTGATTTTCAACTGATAACACGGAATTTCGTTATGCTTCACACAAAACTGTTTCGCCTTGCCAAGTGTCATAATGTCTCCGCTGAATTTTTCAATAGCCTTTAAGTCAGCGCTTATGGGTAATATTCTTTTTACCGCTTCTAATTTTTCAATAGGAATCAGAGTTCCATCCTCTAAACACTTGAAAAACTCTTCAGGCTTTGATTTTAATTGTTTTGGCATAACAAAAATAGACCACGAACGAGAGCAATAATAAATAGAAATGCTTCTTTGGGATCATCATTTTCACACAGAAAATGTATTGTAACTTTTTAAGCGAGATAATCTTCGTAGATGATGAGTTGAAGTATATTTAGAAGATTTTTAATAGCCAAAAACACAGAAAAGTTGTCTTAAACGTTAAAACTTACAAAATCTTCAACTCAACTGACGTTAAAATCTTTTGTTTATTATTTTGTTGCATGAATTATCGTTTCCATAGTAAATATTTAGACCAGTAAAAAAAATTAGTTATTTATTATGAAACGTATAAATTTTTTTTATATACAAAATTTAGCATAATTTTGTACTAAAAATAAATAAACTAAATAGCATTTGTTTTTTTATTGTAAGTCTGATTCAATTAATATTATAAGATTACAAAAAAATGTTCACTGTAATGTATGTTGCTTGACATTTTTAAAATTGAAATCATGTATAGGATATATATAAGTATTTTTAAAACAGTTTTATTTTTTATATAGAATAAATTAACGATAACAAACGAACATTTTAATATTTTATAACACAAATATATTTTTATGGTTATAACATTTTTATTATCTGCAATATTAAATAAATATCTTTAATTATTAATTGAGTGTTGTATTATAGTAGTCTAATTGAAAAGAAAACAAACCAGCATTAATTGTTTAATTAAAATAATGTAGTCAAAAATATAGTTGGGGTTAGTAGAGATTTATAATATCAATGAGAACTTTTTCTAAATAATTAAAGACACCATTTTTATTATTTAATTTAATTGGTAATTTTAAAAACAACACATCACAAATCTATTCAATACATTTTTCATAAACGATCAATTAGTCACTAATATAATAAGTCACTAAAAAGTCACTATAATACTTGTCTAGTCATATTTTTAAATACTTCTTCTTCTTCTTCCTCATCTTAATGCTAACTACTTGGGATTTTAATTTTATAATCTATATAGTTTATTAAATAAACAATTCCATTTGAGATCCCCTCTAGTTTTCGTAAATTTAAATGATGTTATTATTTAAGTAAAATATATTAGTAATGACTGCAATTACGATAAGAGTTATATTTTTTTATAAGTTAAAGGTATTTAAACCTTGTTGTTTGTTACAGTTTGATTAGTATACATTGAACTATAAAAACCGTAAATAACTCTTAATAGTATTCTCTTATAAATTTTCTGATAATTAGGGCTCATTATTATTGAATAGATTAAATATGGCTGTTGCTATGAACAATATAGAAACATTAAGATTGGCCAACCACGAATTTTCTAAATCGTTGTATTCTGTACGTATAATTAAAATTTAACATTTTTATAAAAATTATAAGCACTTGCATTTGTTTATTTAGTCTTTAAATACAAACAATGAAAATTTATTCTATTCACCTCTAAGCATACATGTTGTTTTGCTTATGGCTGGTATTGGAGCGACTTCAAAAACCTCAGATGAAATATTTGATACGATTCATTTGCCAAGAAACAAAAGTTTGATCGAGGCGTACGATTATTTGTTAAATGACATTGGAGTGAGTGTATAGATTTATAACATAAGAGACAATTAATTATTAATCTTTTTACTTCATTTAAAAATGTACAGCGATTCAGAAACTCTGCTAATTTGGTTACCGGAATGTTCGTTGAGAAAACATTTAAAATAAAGTCTAGTTATGCTGAAAAAATAAAAAAACATTTGAAATCGACTGTGGAAAACTTAGATTTTAATAAAAAACCAAATGATCAACGAAGTTATATTAATGGATGGATTGAAAATAAAACTAATGGAAAAATTAAAAATTTATTCCCTGCCGGTAAGAAATTTGAATAAAGTATAATTTATGTAACTCATTCTCAAAATATTTGGTCTGAACACTAGATTCAATTAGTGAATCAACTGTGATGGTATTAACAAGCGCACTACATTTTAAGGATCTTTGGGAAAAAGAGTTTTATACAACGAAAGATGAACCATTTTATTCGATGGGACAACACGCGGTCAACGTAAAAATGATGTACCAACATTCGCGTTACTATTATTATCACGACAAACACTTAAAATTCGCTGCTTTGGATATGCCTTACGTTGTAATAAAATTTTTTTTAGTTTTTTAATACAATCTAATATATTCAGTTGTTTTTTAGAATTTCCACTTCAAAATGTTGATTTTATTGCCTGATGCAAAAGATGGTTTGAGTAATTTAGAAAATAATTTGTCTAAGATAAATTTCATTGAACTTTACAAAAATATGACAAAACATAATGTTGATTTTAAATTCCCAAAATTCAAGATCGAGCAAGAAATTGATCTCAAACATGTATTAAATAAAGTATGATAAAAATTTTTCCGTCGTACATTTATATAATATTTTTTGTAAATAATTACAAATATTATTTTTATAGCTCGGATGTTCCACAATGTTTACACCAAGTGCCGACTTTTCAGGAATTACTGATGTACCAATATTTGCTAATAAAGCTTTCCATAAAGCTTTCATCGATGTAGACGAAAAAGGAACAGAAGCTGCAGCTGCATCAGGTATTGTAAAAATGTTACATTAAAAAAGATAACAAATTTACAATGATATCCGGTATGATTAATATTTAACCTATATTTTTAAATATAATATAAGTTGATCAGTTTGCTGTTAAATACATATTGTATTTTTTGTGATATTGCCTGTAGTTTATAATAAATAAATAAATAAATATTATGTGTATTTTATAATTATATGATGCAATTATATATATTGTATTAATAAATAAGTAAAATAATAATAATATAATTGTTCACTTTTGATTAATATTACTTAAAAGTAATAATATAATTAATTAAATAATGTTCAAATAATATATAATTTTCTATCATTGTTATTTACGGGCATTATTTTATTTAAATATATTTATTAATTTTTAATTTTTAATTATATATTTAATTTTAATAAAAAATTAACTATATTTAGTTAATAAGATAAACAAACAAAATAAATAATTGTAATCGCATATTTTTGTAAATATCCATAAATAATTTTGGTGTGTATAATATGTTTCAGGTATTGAGTTTATGGTAGGCAGTGCTATGCCAACTTCTTTACCAAATGCTGAATTTCATGTTGATCATCCTTTTATTTTTGCTATTTTAACTAATGAAAATGATTTATTATTTTTGGGAAATCTCAAGAAACCATCGAATTAGCTTAATTTTTATATTAATTTTATATTTGACTTTAATTATAATATTAAAACTACGATATAATTTACAACGTATATGTTAATTCTATTTTGACAATTGAAAATAAATTTTAAATAAAAAAATTATGTGGAAAAATTAATTACGAGTTTTTTAAATGTTGCCAAGATATAACTAGTAAATAAATAATGACTTATAAAATATTTACTATAGAGGGAGAAACCGATAATCATATAATTTATGATTAACATTTTATACTTGTTTTTTAATCAACAAACACAATATAGGACTATATATATAATATATTTAAAATTTTTTTTGTTATTTTTCATTATTACAAAAAATATTTAAAGAATTAATTTTCTTTTAAGATTTGAAGATAAAAATGTTATAGATTACTATTAAAGAAATATTTTAATACCAAATAATCATATTTTAAGGCATTATTTATGTATATACTGATGACCATGGAAAAATAATGCACCAGTAAATAAATCTTAAAAAAATTCAAAATTTCTAAACTACTAACTTCTGTATAAGCATAACTACTGATGTAAAATAAGAGTATTTGCTTTCAACATTTTTTTAAAACTTAGCCATAAAAATTGTTAATATAATTATTTTCATAAAATTAATTTAAAATATAATTTTTGTAAATTTGATAAATAACATGAAACATTTTTAAATATAAATGTATAAAATGTTATGTAGATCATAAATGAAATGAGTTAGATCTGTTCCACTCTGTGTAGTTACTAAAGGTTATAAACTGTAGTTCATATTTTTGTTTACACCGTGTGTGTATTTTGTTGTCGCATATTATGTGTTCTTTATTTACATTATACTCTTACCCATGTTAAAATAAAATGTTTTTAATGGTCTTTATATGATTTCTCCTTATCCTTAAACATATTTAAAAAATAATAAACGTTAATTTCAAATTTTGATGCAATAAGTAATTATTTAACTTGTTATCTAATCCCTGTAGACCCATATGTGTATTAATATGACTTTCTATGGCCTCTCCGAACCATTCTACATTTTTGAAAGTCTATATCTCATTTCAAGGTATTTTTAAATAAACTATAATTTGTTACACAAAATTACACATTTAAACACTCTAAGGCTAATTATTGCATAAAAATATTAATAATATAATCAATATAATTATGCAAACAAAATTAATAATTGTACTCATGAATTTAATGAATCTTCATAAATAATTTAGTGAGTATTATGTGTTTTAGGTATTGAATTTCTGGAAGGCAGTGCAATGCCAACATCACTACCAAAAGCTCAATTCCATGTTGACCATCCTTTTATTTTTGCTATTTTAACTAATGAAAATGATTTGTTATTTTTGGGAAATCTTAAGAAACCATCATCTTAATTTAATTTAATATATTAATTTAATACTTGATTTTAATTATTATATTAACACTACTTATAACATATAATACAAAATAATCCTCAATTTCAAATGTATCTATAATACAGTAATAATTCATTAAATTTAATTTAAGAAAATTCTCCTGATCAAAATTTATCGACTAGAAAAAATTAATATTGTTGTTATTGATTGACTTTATAGTGATCTGGAAAATTTCAGAAACATATGAAATTTTATACAGTTTTTAATAAAAAATATATCTGCTTTAATCAAGTGTATTTTTGTTGTGTTATGGTTCAGAACTTTTTAATCTTTTTTATGATAAAAAGACCTGAATGTCGTAATTATATATTAAAAATTGATCACTTGTGGCTAATATTGTTAAAAGTTAAAAATATATGTATTATTAATTTAAAACTAAAAAATATTAAAAATATTCATCTCAAAAATCCACAAATAAGGTAGTATTTATTTGTTAGGATGATTTTTATTATGGTAAAATTGTACTCGAAATACATATTTGCAATTATTAAATATTTTTCGTGGTTTTTTTAGTTAATATATTTAATATTTTGTAGTATTAAATTAATATTATAGATACATTTTTAATTTTAAATAATATTAACCACAAGTGATCAATTCCTATACAGGGGGATTTTTTTATCACAACCCACTCAATTACTTGCAGAATAATAATAATTTAAACATTTTTTTTTTTATTATCTTTAGTTGCATATTATTCTTGAATTTTTAACTATGTAATACTTTTTAAGTTCACCCCTTATGCCTGGTAAGGGTGTCAACTTAGTTTTTTTAAATGGTAACACATATTTTTAATTTAATAAAATGTTTGAGTTTTTAATTTAATAGTAAATGGCATTTGAATTTTTAATATAACTTNATATTTTTAATTTAATAAAATGTTTGAGTTTTTAATTTAATAGTAAATGGCATTTGAATTTTTAATAAAACTTAATTCGTTTATTAGTTATAATCATTTAAAGTTCCAAATTTTTGAGTTAATATACAGGTATAATACACAAGGGATAACAAATATAGGTTGCTAATTGGTTTTTTATGACATTGCTGTCACAGTCACGAATTGTTTATTATCAATTGTGACAACCAATAGATATACTTTTTGTATTGTCAGTTAGTGTACTTATAAACTCACAACAATGTACGTTACTATCATTGATAATAACAATGCTGTGTATCTGCTAATATCGATGTCATAAAAAATCAATTAGCTACATTTATTTGTAATCCCTTGTGTATTATACCTATATATTAACTCAAAAATTTGCAACTTTAAATGTTTATATCTAATAAAAAAATTAAGTTTTATTAAAAATTCAAATGCCATTTATTATTGAATTATAAACTCAAACATTTTATTAAATTAAAAATATGTGTTACCATTTAGAAAAACAAAGTTGAACTCCTTACAAGGCATAAGGGATGAACTTAAAAAGTATTACATAGTAAAAAATTCAAGAATAATATGTAACTAAAGATAATAAAAAAAAAAAATGTTTAAATTATTATTATTCTGCAAGTAATTGAATAGGTTATGATAAAAAAATCACCCTGTATTTTTAAGTATTTTACTAAACTCCATTTTTTAGTTTAATTATATTTTTTCATAAATATGAAGAGATTAAAATTAAATTTATTTTTATAAAACCTTGTAAATATAAGGTTTTTTTTATAAAACGTATTGTTCCTAAGGTTAGATTTCAGGGATAACTTTCGAAATTAAAATTAACATTATTTTTTATTATTAAATGGAGAATAATCAATATAAAGTTTTGATTACTCAATAACCAGTTTTGATTTATTACTTATTGAGATATTAGCATTCGTTATTTAGATAAGTTGTTCAGTGACGCTCTACTTTTTAACATTACTTACAGATGAGAGTTCTTATGTTGCGAACCTGCCTGTCAAAGTATTCTTCAGACTATTTTCATTTAATAGTAAAAAAATAATAATAGGTTTCCAATTAGCTTTTGAAAGTTACCTCTAAAAACTACCCGTAGGAATATAATTTTCTTACAGTAAACTTGTTATTTACAATGGTTTTAAAAAAAATAATTAAATTTTAATATATACAATTTTTTAAATTTTAATTAAGTTTTAACAAAAAAAAATGGGGTTTTTTAATTTAATATATCACGCTGTTAATAGTAATGTATAAATCATGAAATTTTTTGTATAAAAAATAAGTAGACCAAAATTTAATTTATGATTTTGTTTTTCTCATTTTAATACTATAAATATAATAGTCGAAGTATGTTATTTCTACAAATATAACCTTTCTACCTGATTATTTCAAAACCAACATTATGTTATTTGCTATTAATATTATCAGGCCTTTATAACGGTGTCAATAGGTAAAACATTGTTTTATAAATTGTATAATAAATATAAATAAATACACCTATAAGAAATAAGTTTAAAATTGTTGTTTTGAAAATTTTATTTAATTAATTTTATTTCAAAGTTTTAGATTTAAATATTTATTAAATTTTTATATAAATTTTATTCATATGAATACACAATTTTTTCTAATTAGTATTATTCATATATTATAGTGTATATATTTAATAAGCATTACATTTTTGTCTATATCGAAAATTAATTAACACAAATTATTATAAAAATTTACAATACATTAAATAAGCCGAGGTGCAGTTAAAATATGAGCCATTATAAAAAAATTTCAATTTATTTTTCTAGCGATTATTTTGATTTCAAAAAAATGTTTCAATTTTTTAACAAAATATATTATTAAAAACATTTTTCTTATCCAATGATTGATTTATAAAATTTAATTTTAGCATAAGATAAAGTGATACGCCTAAAAAATATAGTAAAATAACATCTCTTTCGCTTCATATTAAAAACCGAAATGAGACTAATTAAAAAAATAAAATTAAGTCTTAATCTTTAAACACTTAAAGTATGAGTCCCCCTAAAAACCTAAAAATCCTGAGGTCTCAGTGCATCCCATTAAATCCACGAATAATTTATAAAAGTGAATTTAGTAGGGAATTATATTAAGTGCTATAAGAGTTTATAGTTACAATGAAAACTGACATAAATAAATAATAAACAAAATTTCATTATATAACTAAATTGGACATTTATAGAAGAATGAAATTCATTAATTTTTTTTATCTAATTTTTTTTAATTTTTGTGTACGTAAATATATATTAATATAATTTTTGGAAATTTTAAATTTTATAAACTACACAAGTAACTTGTGTGTGCAGTTATAATTTTTAAATAATCGAAATCTTAATTTTATAATCTATATAGTTTATTAAATGATCAATTCCATTAGAGATTCCCTCTAATTTTCATAAAATTTACTGATGTTATAATTTTAGTATTATATAAAAGTAATAACGGTAATTATAATAAAAACTATATTTTTATATAGTTTATCGTTTTTAAAATTAGTTATATAGAAAAGTTAATATGGTAGGATTACATATTTAATGTTGTGAAGTGATAAAATTTGTTTAAAAAATAGTTTAATTAGAGGTATTTAAACCTTGTTGTTTGTTACAGTTTGATTAGTATACATTGAACTATAAAAACCGTAAATAACTCTTAATAGTATTCTCTTATAAATTTTCTGATAATTAGGGCTGATTATTATTGAATAGATTAAATATGGCTGTTGCTATGAACAATATAGAAACATTAAGATTGGCCAACCACGAATTTTCTAAATCGTTGTATTCTGTACGTATAATTAAAATTTAACATTTTTATAAAAATTATAAGCACTTGCATTTGTTTATTTAGTCTTTAAATACAAACAATGAAAATTTATTCTATTCACCTCTAAGCATACATGTTGTTTTGCTTATGGCTGGTATTGGAGCGACTTCAAAAACCTCAGATGAAATATTTGATACGATTCATTTGCCAAGAAACAAAAGTTTGATCGAGGCGTACGATTATTTGTTAAATGACATTGGAGTGAGTGTATAGATTTATAACATAAGAGACAATTAATTATTAATCTTTTTACTTCATTTAAAAATGTACAGCGATTCAGAAACTCTGCTAATTTGGTTACCGGAATGTTCGTTGAGAAAACATTTAAAATAAAGTCTAGTTATGCTGAAAAAATAAAAAAACATTTGAAATCGACTGTGGAAAACTTAGATTTTAATAAAAAACCAAATGATCAACGAAGTTATATTAATGGATGGATTGAAAATAAAACTAATGGAAAAATTAAAAATTTATTCCCTGCCGGTAAGAAATTTGAATAAAGTATAATTTATGTAACTCATTCTCAAAATATTTGGTCTGAACACTAGATTCAATTAGTGAATCAACTGTGATGGTATTAACAAGCGCACTACATTTTAAGGATCTTTGGGAAAAAGAGTTTTATACAACGAAAGATGAACCATTTTATTCGATGGGACAACACGCGGTCAACGTAAAAATGATGTACCAACATTCGCGTTACTATTATTATCACGACAAACACTTAAAATTCGCTGCTTTGGATATGCCTTACGTTGTAATAAAATTTTTTTTAGTTTTTTAATACAATCTAATATATTCAGTTGTTTTTTAGAATTTCCACTTCAAAATGTTGATTTTATTGCCTGATGCAAAAGATGGTTTGAGTAATTTAGAAAATAATTTGTCTAAGATAAATTTCATTGAACTTTACAAAAATATGACAAAACATAATGTTGATTTTAAATTCCCAAAATTCAAGATCGAGCAAGAAATTGATCTCAAACATGTATTAAATAAAGTATGATAAAAATTTTTCCGTCGTACATTTATATAATATTTTTTGTAAATAATTACAAATATTATTTTTATAGCTCGGATGTTCCACAATGTTTACACCAAGTGCCGACTTTTCAGGAATTACTGATGTACCAATATTTGCTAATAAAGCTTTCCATAAAGCTTTCATCGATGTAGACGAAAAAGGAACAGAAGCTGCAGCTGCATCAGGTATTGTAAAAATGTTACATTAAAAAAGATAACAAATTTACAATGATATCCGGTATGATTAATATTTAACCTATATTTTTAAATATAATATAAGTTGATCAGTTTGCTGTTAAATACATATTGTATTTTTTGTGATATTGCCTGTAGTTTATAATAAATAAATAAATAAATATTATGTGTATTTTATAATTATATGATGCAATTATATATATTGTATTAATAAATAAGTAAAATAATAATAATATAATTGTTCACTTTTGATTAATATTACTTAAAAGTAATAATATAATTAATTAAATAATGTTCAAATAATATATAATTTTCTATCATTGTTATTTACGGGCATTATTTTATTTAAATATATTTATTAATTTTTAATTTTTAATTATATATTTAATTTTAATAAAAAATTAACTATATTTAGTTAATAAGATAAACAAACAAAATAAATAATTGTAATCGCATATTTTTGTAAATATCCATAAATAATTTAGTTTGTAATTCATCATTTTTGAATGTCTACATCTCACTTTAAGATATTTCAAATAAACTATGATTCGTGATACAAAATTACACAATCAACCATTATAGAGCTAATTTAATATTGCATAAAAATATTGATTATTTTTTTTAATAATATATTCAATATAAAAAAGTAAACAAAATTAATAATTGTGCTCATCTATTTTAATAAATCTTCATAAATAATTTAGTGTAAATTATGTGTTTCAGGTGTTGTGTTTATGAAAGGTAGTGCAATGCCAACTACTTTACCAAATGCTGAATTTCATGTTGACCATCCTTTTATTTTTGCTATTTTAACTAATGAAAGTGATTTGTTATTCTTGGGCAATCTTAAAAAACCATGAAATGTTTTAATTTGGTACATTATTTTAATATTTGTCTGTAAATATACTTATATTATAAAAATAATAATTAAATTTTAAATGAATGTACTTTTCTGACAGTTAAAAATTAATTTAAAATATACAAAATTGTATTATTTTAAATGATTATTTCCTAGTTTATCTAAAGTAGTATATACATCTAGTTAATAAATAGTTACATACACAACTGCACAATGCTTCTTTGAAGATATCTGTATTTATAAATAGTACCCCAATTCTTTTCATACACAGTTGACCATTGTGTGTCATGTTGTTTTACTTTTCATTTATACTCGTTCCATTGATGCATTTGAGATAAAAAGGTAAAAACTTGTTAGATTATTTTTCCGATGTATACCTATAAATTCTACTCGTATTATATTATATGTGTTTTTTAGTAATTGAGGTCAAGGTTTTAATTTCCCTAGAATTTTTTTTTAGTAAACATTATAACACTTAATACTATTTTAATCAAAAAAGTTCTATTTGTTTTTCCATCATAAATTAGATTGATGTATAAAAAAAAAAAAAAACAAAAGATTAACATTCCCAAAAATATTTATTGTTAAAATTGGTCAATGTATTTTCAGAATGATTGGTTTTTATCAATCAATTAAATTAAAATAATAATAATTATGGAAATTATTGAATAAAGAAAAAGTCTGTAAATATTTGTCAAAAGAAAAAAAAAATGAGGAATATAAATATAAGAGTACATAATTTTTTTTTGTTGTAGTTAAATATCAATAATAATATAGATTTTTTCATTATTTAATAATAAATATAAGAATATTTTCTTATATTAAGAAAATTTTATATATATATTTAAATTAATAAATGTATTACATTATAAGTATAATTTTCAATATCCAAATCAACTATTATGGTGTTAGTTGACGCACTTAATTTGAAACAGCCGTGGAAGTATCCATTTAGACAAATTAATGATGCGCCTTTTGATAGTACGCCTCAAAAACTATTAATGTTAAAATGATGCACATAGTCAAATATGTTGAATACTATCATAATTTAGAAATAAAATTGAGTTTAATAACTATATCTAATAAGGTAGCAAATATTTAGATCAATCGTTTTGTTTATATAAATTTAACATTCATATATATTTCTTGATATTAATTTAGATTTAAAATGTTTAAGTGATGATTTTACTATCAGATGAAAAAGATGGCTCAAAAGATCTCGAAAATAATTGATATCATTGAAGTTCTGAAAATAATATCATATCCTTCATCAGATTTAAGTTACTACAATTCAAACTAGAACAACAATTTGATCTCAAGGATACTTTAATTAAGGTAAAACAACTTATAAGTTTACACTTATAGGATATGTATAATTAAATATATAAAATATTAAATTATGATGATCTTTAACTTTTGTTTATTGCTTAATAGCTTGGATGTATTACAATGTTTAATCGCGATGCGAATTTGCTGAAATTTCTGATTTACCTTTACAAGTTGATAAATTTGTTCATTAGGCTTATATAAGTGTCGTTAAAAATGGAACCGAAGTTGCAGCTGGTTCAGGTATTATATAAATATAATTTAATTTAAAAAAAAACTAAATTGCAGTTAAACATATTTTTTATTAAAATAACATAATAATTTAATATTTATTAATAATTAAATTTACGTAATTGTTTTTTTTCCATAATCTAAATTAATCTGTGATACTTAATTTATTTGAATAAAATTTCATTGTATGTAATTTTTTGATTTTAGGAGTAGTAATAGTGTTAGGTAGTGCTTATAATCCAAAAATAATTTACTCCACGCCAATCTTTCATTTATTGTGTCAATTTTAATTAACAAAGACGATATTATTTTTATTGGTCTTGTTATATATCCTCAGGTTTGAGCAGTTTATGTCTACATCATGATCTATAAAATGTATTCCAAATTACTATAAGAATTTTAAGAACATGTGAAAAATATATGATCAGCTTCTTATTTTGAAAAAACGTCAAAACGTGCTAGATAATTGATAACACAAAAAAGTAGAAGTACAATAAATAATTCATTTATAATGGTGTAATAATACTAACTGGCGTAATAGTAACTAATTAGTATTATTAATTAAAATATACTAATATCTAACTTTACTATATACTTGCCATAAAAATTTAAATGTTAAAATTACCTTTGGCTAATTGATTAATTTATCAAAAATCTAATCATTAAATAATAAAAGATTATTTAATTATAACCATTAATTCTTACAAGAATATGTTAAGTTCAATAAATACACAAAGTTTACAAAACTGAATTTATTTTGAGGGATTTTATTGGTCTATAAAAATTACTTTTATTTGAATTGATGAGTATCGGAATCAGCTAAAATAGTTCATTATCCTAAATTGTTGGATCTTCTAATTTATATTCAAAAAAATTATTAACTTGCAATGCATTTTATTAGAATTAACCGTAAATGATAACGAAAGTCAAGGGGTGAAATAATATCCTCCATTTTTATACATATCTATTTGTAAATATATTTAGGATATTTATTATTCGAAAATAGGATATTAAGTGCCAGGATGTGTGTTGGTGGCAAAGGGATGTTGTCAAGGGACGCAGGAAGTGAGCCGATAGGCGGCGGAAATGCAGGAAACTGGAACACATCTTTTTTAAACGGGTTTACACAATTCGACACTATGGCTGATAACATATTCCCCTCGTGCTGTTAACTCCCTTATGTATACACGGTTAAAAAAAATTCTCTTAATATATACATGTTTTAATAACGGAAGCGATAGTGATTCGTAAATATTTTATTTAATACATTTTCACATGAGTGAAATAAAATAAAAATGACACATAATAGAGGATTCTGAAAAATACATTATATTAAAAAATAATCTACAATTTAATGTATGGTTTTTATTTTAGTTAAATGTGAAAGGGTATCATAAAACATAAAAAAGTAATTTTATTGAGTTTAACTCGTATTATGTGTTGCTTTATATAAAATTATTTTTAAGAAGATCATACAACTCTCGAATAAATTAATTATTATTTTAATTAACTTTTGTAACATTTATGTTATTATAAATATAACATGATTCTTATCCAGCTGTTCATTTTATTGGATTCAGTCTAATAAATTATTCAAATAAATAAAATTTAAAATAAGGACCGTACTGTGACATAGTGGATCATTCAGTGGGCGCCTTTGCACTAGTGGTCAGCTGCGCTATTTGCTGTTGGTTCCCGGATGGTCACCCATCCGGGAGCTTTAACATTTACATACACCTTGCCTCTTTATTGGTTCTCTCATCCATAATGAGACTGTGTCAGGTCGCCAGCCGGTGTAAAAATCCTGTCCAACTGTAAGATAGAGCCATTCTCAAATAGTTGTTATAGACTATAAAAAAATTATGATGGCGATGAACTAAAATTCCAAAGTAAGAATAAAATGTTTTTTATTGAAAAACGCGTAATAAATTAGAAATAATTTTATTATTTCTCATATCGATGATAGATTTATGTGCAAACGGCGGACAATTATTACTCTATCGTTTTATTATTAAAATATTATCATGAATGAAGACTTTTTTTGGTCACACGACTTGTGAGGTAACTCCTCACAGTTAAATCACTTATATCTTACCAATATGCAACGCTTTGTATGTATGTCTATTATTCGAAATCATCAATGTGAGTGAAGAGGGCCCTGAGCAATAATTATGGGTAGTTTTATTTAAAGGTGGTGCAGTATATTATTTGCGGTTAGAGTGCGGTGACATTTCATTCAATATTACAATATTTAGTAACGATTGACTACTATCTTTCGAATAAATAGTAAAATAAATCTCATGTTCAATGAACCCCCGGGGTCTACAATCATTGGGTTTTTGTTGCTTTGAATGAAGCATACTATTTATAATAAAATATAAAATAATTTAATTCAAACATATACGTTAGTAAAAATCATAATTTTTTAATTACAAATGAAAATAATAATACATCTTATGTCTGACATTGTAATTACGTTGCTAAAAAGGCATTGGTTTTACTATGTTGTGATTTTGTGTGTTTTATATGAATACTCTGCTCCTATTAAATCAATTTTTCTGAAAAACATGTCAAAAGATCACAAACCGTATCGAGTTTAAATTAATAGTGTCCTTTTTTTCGAATCCAAACACTAACCAATGTACTCGGTGATTTTAAACATCATAACATTTTTTTCTTTTAAATTTTTCATTATGTTCTTAAAAACCTGTATTCTTTTAATTTACGTCAAATTAATATTAATACAATGTACTTTAAGATCAAAAAAAAAATGTTTTTTTTTTAATAAAAATAAATTGTTAAAAAGTAAATGAATAAATTCAAAAGTTTTCTAATTTTTTTTTGCCTTTCATTATAAACATCGAATAAAATCCATTATGACATCGAAACGTTTAACATTACTGGTGTTAAACATTGTCAAATTTCTATGTATACTCTGAGACCCTACTATGTTAGATCTCCACTTTACTGGTTTTCTAAAATTCATGTAAGTGTATAATAACCAACAGTAAAAAGTAAAAAAACTTCTAGATTACTTATCAGTTAATAATCTTTGTTCATCCCAAAATATTTTAATATATTAATATGACTTGTTTCTGAATTTCAAAACAACTTTGTCTTATTTTATTAAAAGTAAAAATCGTATACTTATCGTATATAACCATTGAGAACTATAAAATATAAACTTGTTTGAATGAAATTTACTGGTAATAAAATTCCGAGGGTTATTCATAGTCGAAATGCCACACACGACCGTCCGATTAGTATTAGTTATTTTGTATCAATTAAACTCAATAATTGAGGTTATCACAATTTGTTTTCATTATTAATACTATTTGTCAATTAGTCAACATTTATTACACAAACAATTGAAAATAATATTTTGCATTATCAATAACGCGTTGACGGGGGAAAGAATTGGCAAAGAACACAGTAGAAATATTTGTAATAACTTGTTGTTCAATCTATTTCTATGTAAAATTTGCTAATTCGAAAGGTAATATGTAGTTCAATAAGTTATAAACCTTTTATTGTTTTTTTTTTTAATAAAAACAATTAATTATTTATAGTTTAACAACGTTATTATTCAAAAGCACTACAATAACATTGCTACAAACGTGTTTTAAAATGAAGTTGGTGAGATTTTTTACAACTAAAAGAGCTTTAGTGTCAGTTTGTTGAAGACGTTATCAGTCGTTTCATTTCATTTGACAGAATGTGTATTATCGGGTTAGGTGTCTGCCGATGGAATAGACCCGGCAGAAGACAATTGCTTACATAAAGATGACCTGTAAGTAAACAAAACTTTGACAACGGTATTGCGTATGTGACAACGGATACACAACAGATACGTAATACGAATAACGGTAGGCATAAATGTACTTGGCAAACGCTAATTTCCGTTCACAGCGCATATGAATATGTGCCACTAATTCCGGTCGCCCTTTCCTTAGCAGATTACTGCCGTTATGTATGTAAACGCTGCAGTAGTGTCTCGTTCGGTGCGCGAGGGACTTTTACCGGAAGTACGCGAAACAACCCATTGTCTGAATATGTGTGTGGACCCACGTGGAAGGCAATCGCATTTTCACGAGCGACAATAGTGAATCAAAAGCGTTTCCATATTGGCCGAGAATATGACAGGAAATGGGCCTTTGAGTGAGCAGCGCACACATTCATAACGTGAAGAACTCAACGCACAACTTTTGTAACGAAAAGCGTTAGAGTATTCGTGTCACGATTCACATATGATATTGCGTCCCTTTGAACGTGTTTGTGTACCTAATGTTTGTTACCTATTAAAAACGATATTCGTATCAACAACTTATCCCGTGTACAGACTCATTATTAAACTTACACACCATACCATTTATATGCAATATGCATCATTTTTAATTTAAAATTTAATCGTGATAGAATTTCAATAAGTAGTTTCAGTTCATTATAGTTGAATAAGTATAAAAGAGAGTCCAGTATTGAGTAAATTTAACAAGCAAATTAATAACAAAGCTTATTGAACTTAGTAATTTTGCAAATCAATATCATAATATTTAATTTTCATTGGTGAAAACAAGAGTGAAAAAATAATATTTTTCAATAAATAAGATAGCTTAAAAATATCCAATCAAAAATATTTAAAATCATAAAAAATTTTTTATAAACTTAATACAGTTTTTTTAAAGTGTGAAATTTAGCACGAATGTATGGAAAAAAATGTATAACGCATTCAATTTTATCTTGATCATTTTATAAAGACTAAAAGAGCATCTAAAAATGATCCAAGATTTGATATTCATCAACATGAACTATTGGTTCAAAACTATATAATTAAATTATTTATTTCAATATTGGACTAAATACTTAGTCCAATAGGACTTGCCCTACTTTATTTTATTATTTTAGTCATTTGTATTATATTTTATCAACTCAAAATAATGAAATTGAAGCATTTTTACACACTATCTTTTAATATAAATTAGTTTGTTTACATTAATAAAATATAATTCTCGAACTTAGTATAGTATGTATTATATGTATTTTTGTTTGTTAAAAATTATTATCTCATTTGTTTAATAATATTAGCCACAATTCATTAATTAATTTTAATTTTCAAGTTATTATATTTTATGTTTTTTGTATAGAATCTTTTTAATAGTTTAAAAATTATTTAATAAATAATTGAAAATAACAGAAAATAATAAACATTTTTAACCAAAAATATATTATTTTAATAAAAAAATACTGAAGAATTAGATTAAGTAAATTTTAATGAGTATATGAATTTTATATTTTTTATATTTTATATAATATTATATTTTTGATATTTTATAATTAAAGCGACAAATATGTTTTATGTGTTGAAAGATAAAAAATAATAATAATAAATAGTTCAAGAAAATTTTAAATAGATTTAATAAGTATATTGGAGAGCTTAAAAAAATAATTTGTTAGTGTTATGTTTCCATATTCTATTTCATAAATTGGGATAGAAAATCTAATGAGAACTTTCTGTACCAAATTGTTTCATTTACACCATCTACCCTCAAAAATAATTTCAATTCAATTGACGGGGTTTCAAATATTTTTATGGTGGCTAAAACCCCCAAAGCCCCCATGCAAACTAGCTAATAAACAGCTTATACATGTTAAAAATC